TTCTTAAACTTGTAAAGCCATTTATCATCTTGTATATACGAAGTATATATTATGGGACTTGAAGTCAGAGAGCATTTGGCCGAAATTGTATAGGATATCGAGAATTGAAAACTTTTTTTTATTTAAGTTAATCCTTTTTTAGATATTTAGATATTAAATTTTGAACATGTTACATTGTATAATATGGTGACAAGAAGTCAAGAATTTATTATTCAACACATTGTACTAAAAAAAAACAGATGCCTTTTTAGAAAGTTCGACTCAGGCCCGAGTTTAGGTAGGATCGGCACTGCATGAGTTCACCACTTCACGTCCTGTGTGAAGCCTCCACATACCATATTAGTCTTATCCTTATTAGTGCACGTGACTTTGAGTCTAGTTTCATTATTCAAAGTGCAGGAATTACTTCTTTGTTTTTAAATAGGAATGTGTGAAAAGCCTAAATTATGCTAATGCTTAGAAAAAATAAAATTCCGTCAAATGAAATTTAATTTAAAAAAAAAAACAAAAACTCAAAGTAAAAAATGAAAATAAAAAAAAAACAGAAAATTTGGAAACTTGTAAAAATGATTGAAAATGAAATTAATGTGTAAAAACAGTTCAGAAAAATAAAAAACATATACGAAACTTTTAAAAAACTTGAAAACAAACAAATAAAAAAGTTTAAATTAGTTAAAGTGTGGGGAAATGTAAAAAAGGTTCAAAGTTTGTTTTTTGTATGGTAGTCTGATCTTCTTAAATAGTTGATATAATTTATATAAAAATATTAAAAAAATTAATAAAATGTATAAAATGGTTGAAAAAAATAAAAAACATAATTATACAGAAAATATTTGAAATGAGATAAAAATATTTTTAAACTTTTTAATAATATGAAATAATATAAAAAAAGTAATAAAAATATTTTTACGTAAATAAAAAGTAATACTCCCTCCGTCCCATTAGATTTTACCAACTTTCCCTTTTTTGTTGTTCCCAAAAAATTTGCCACTTTCCTTTTAAAGCAACTAATTTGTGGTTCTGCACAAATCTCAACCACATAGTTTTTACTATTCTTATTTCTCACCTACTTTGCACTTGGCAAAGTTCACCGGGACGGAGGTAGTATATATGAAAAAAAGAATAAAAATATTCATATTAAAAAATAAAAATCAGCTAAATATATAAATTTGAAAAACATTCCATAATTTTATATTTAATTTTATATACTCCCTCCGTCCCGAAAACAACTTCCCGGTATGACTTTCACACACTTTTAGGAAATAAATTTGACTTTACTGTAGAGTGCACTGTTTTGCACTGTTTAAACACTGTTTGGCACTGTTTAAACACTGTTCGACACTGTTTATCACTTTTTTGATGTAGATAATTTGCCAAATAAAAAAAGTATTGAAGTGTGAAGTTAATTTTGGGACATCCATTTAAGGAAAGTGGGAAGTTGTTTTTGAGACGGAGGGAGTACTATATATATTACATTGTTTTTTTTATAATATATTATTTAAGATTATAAAAAATTTGAAAATTAATGTCCCTTGATTCCTTAAATAGTATAAAATTAGCTTAAATTAAACGGAAAAATGAAAAATTAAAATAAAAACATGTAAAATTTAAATTAAAAAAAAAGTACTAGTTTTTAATGTAATGTTTCTTAAAGTACATAAATTTTGCATTATTATTATCATTTTATTTTTAGTGATTGTTGCATATTGTTTTTTTGTGTTTCTTTTTGTTGACAATTCGGGAATATTTGTTTTTTATTGTTTCTTGTTGTTTTTCATATTCACAAAACGAAATTTAACATTTTCAGTGTTTTCATATAAATCTATATAGATATTTTTATGTTAAGGATGTAGAAAAATAAATAAGGATGTTTCACTAAACTGTCTGCGCTTCTTTGTTATGAAGCAGCAGCCAGTTCATGCAATTTTGGACGCGATTTTCACTACGGGTCATCCGGAAACAGTCTCTCTGTGCTTGTACAGGGGTAAGACTGCGTACATCCGACCCCCCCTTACCCCACCGTAGGTGGGAGCCTTTGCGGCAATGGGGTAAATGAAAATGAAAATGAATGATGTAGAAAAATAAATAGAAATCTAAGTAAACAAAAATCTGAATCAATACTAAATAGTAAACAGGTAATAATAAACACAGTGCGACAACAAGTAATAAGATGCAACAAAATGCAACAAGATGTAACAAAATGTAATCTATGTGGTACAACAACAAAAATAATACTACATGTATATAATCATATCACAACAAAATAGTAAACAAGTTTGAAATAACATAATAGGACAAATAAGCCATGACAAAGTGTTTGGATTCTCATCATCATATCAATAACTATGGCCCCGGTATGACCATATCTTGGCAGGTTTCCCCGAGGCAAAACACAACGTTCCTTCTGGAAGCTTAAGCTGTTAATGAACAACAAAGTGTCTTTGATGCACCCATCTCTCCTTTTGTTTGTGCCCTTCACATCTTTCTCAACATCCTTTTCATCACACCAAGGAGCCAAGATTAACTTGTCATTCAGAGCTTTCACATACTCATCCCATGTCTTAGCAACTTGGACACATGCATTTCTCTTTTGGTTTGCAACATCAAAGAGATTTTGTTAAATGGCAGCGATCATGACTTTCACATCTTCAGCAATGCTTTCCATGGGAATATCAATTTTAGCCCCGTTATCACGCCTTACAACCCTTACCTGTTTATTAGCAGGTAAAATACGTGGAGCTTAAAACAAGAGAGGCGCTCAAGTACAACTTTAGAGAGCAAAATTCCATCTATTCAATCACTGCCAACAAGTCACCCACTTTGCAGAACATGTGTTTCTAATTTGTTTTCAAGTTTAACTCATAGGCACTCACATCAAAAAAAGAAACTTCTTCCCGACCTCAAAAAACTTCACCAACCTCAGTTCCAACAGAGAGAACCTCTCCCATAAAGTACCTCTCGATTTTCAAAGAAGATTTTGACAGCAAAACACCTTTCGCGGATTTCTCGAGCAAAGCTTATAACCTTATCAAGACTGTCTTCGGGTGACTTTTGACAGAACTGTTTAGGCTCTTTTGTGGAGACCTCTAAGATTATAAGAGGGCCATAGTTATTCACCAATGTGATGCACTGCAAATATAAATTAAAAACAAAGGTCACTTTCAGGAGTTTTTTTGTTACAAAATGCTTTCAAGAGTTTCTACAGCCTAGCTAAGAGAATGACATTGACCCCTGTTTATAATTCCCTCATTATTATTTCACACAAATGATGCATTTTTAACACACAGTTGAAACTTGACCATACATACCTGCTGCTCATACACACGCAACATCGGGCGAGACTTAAGAAGGAGATTAATAATCTCTTCTTGGGTCTTGTTACTCTGAAGGTAAGTGATAACCTCTGCTGTAAATTCCTCACACGGAGTGCACACTATATCACTTCTGCTGGCTTGTCTAACAACTTGAACATCTTTCTCTATGTGTTGAACTGTTGATCATTCAAGCATTAATATACTATTACTGTTATAAATGTATACTAAAATAAAGAATCTCCAAGCAAGGAAAATATATCAGATCAGAGAGGCTAATATAAAATTCTATTAGTCTTTGAAAATTCTATATGTCTTTATTCAAAAGAAAAAGTAGAGCAAGATGAAATACAACGAAGAGTGCGTCTCAGAGAACTTATTGCCAAGTGTGCTGCTGAGATGATTGAGCTCGATGAAGATGAAATCAAGGAAGGGGAGAACTACAAGGAAAATTCCAAGGAGCCGGAACCAGTCACCAAGCAAAAGGAAATTAAAAAGCCCTTGGAAATTCTCAGAATCAAGCCCCCCTTTCTAGAGGAAATTCGAGAGCGAATATGTTGTCAACCAGAGAAAATCATAAAATTCAGTGAACTGAAAATTCGTGGACTCAACCATTTTAAAGGAAAGTTCAGAGGAGGACACATCTTTATGCTTTACCAAAGATCAACAGGCGAACAACGCAGAATTCTGAATCATAATCTGGAAACAAGCTTAGCTCCTGTGTCAAAGATTCTAAAGGTAACAAAAGACTATCTCGAGACTATCAGGTTCTATACTTTCCAAGTACAGCGCACTGACGGGACTAAGTTCACCTGCCAAGAGAATGACTTCTTCTTACTACACATGGATGACATCTATCAGATGTTCATGGCATGCAAACAACTCCCAGTCCACAAGGACAGAATTGCTAAAGAAGGCTTCGAGGCTATCAAAGGATTCATGACAAGACAAGTTCGATATTATGCTTCCCATGATCTCCAAATGGCCCTAGAAAACAACTATTCAAAGGCAAATCTCACACAACCAGACTGGAACAGACCTGAACTTGAATCCTACTCAACATACCACACCTTTGACAATCCGGTCTCAGTCATCTATCTGAATCACAAAGAGGAGAAGCGGCTGATGGTTGTTGAAGACATTCGCAAATACTGTGACGGGACTTTGAAGATCATCCGGGAACAATTGCGACCAAGAAAAGAAGAACTTGATAAAAGACAGACTGAAGCCTCAAAGGACGAACTCAAGGAACTGGAAAGAGTTGATAATATTTTGAAAGCCATCAAAAAGCAAATCAACAATAGAAGATCACTCAGAAGCTACGAGCATGCACTCAATCTCAGAAAGCATTATTATAAAGCTTGGAAGTGAAGAGTAGAAGAAGCAAGAACATCTGATCACAAAGGGATAGATTGTTAGAGATATTTCATTTGTATTGTGATCAATGTTCAAATAGCCTTTTGTAATAGTTTATTTATTTATAGAATAGGGTTTATTTGGTAAAGGCTCAATTGCCTAAATAGGAATGGGCCTCCTTAAAGTTGGAGCCCAATCATTTGTTAACCTACCATTCTCCAAGGCTATAAATATGCCCCTTAGGAGAATGAGTAGGTTAAGCTTTCCCAGATATTCCCATACCCTAGAGCCGCAGTGCTATTTCGGTGATAGAAGTTTTACGCTACTTTTCTCTATCATTCTGTAAACTTCTTCATCATCAATGGAAAGCTTCTTCTATTCATACTGATCAAATCTCATACATTGTAGAATAGAAAACAGGGACCTAACACACTTTTTTACAAATGCAGATGCCAATGACTTTTAACCCAAATAATCTAGTGGGCCCTGAGGTTAATAGCAAAGTAATCCTCAAGTGCCCCCCAAGGAGGGGGGGTTGAAGTAGTAACTTGAGAAGATATATTATTATGAGTTGAGACAAGTTGAACCACCGTGAAAGTTTCCTTGTGAGAAAATTGATATTTGCCTCTTCCTCAAGAACTTGTGGACCTGCGGTGGCTTGATCACAAATGGTTAAATTGATGGAGACTTGAGCACAACTACATACAAATAGTGGATTGGGCACAGATTTATCAGGAGCGTTTTTTTGGTGAATTAGGTCAAACCCATGACAAAATGCATGCAAATCCATTTCTTCACAAGTTATTTGATACGGAACCAAATGCATAATAGGTATTTTTTTGACAAATCAAATGTATGATATTTATTTTTTATGGTACGATAGCATTCACCATAAAAAAAAAGAAACAAATCCGAACCAAGTTATATATATATATATTTTTGAAAATCAAATAACCTTTTTTATTGATAATCAGATCTTAACAAGTAACATAACAACTAAAAGCCGAAGCATTACAATCATAGCATTCAATACTACACTAGGGTGAGACAAAGAACAAAAACGCCATAAAAAGCACTCATGTTCGCTAACCGTGCAACAATGTAGACTCGTACCACAGTGTGTCTGCTCATGCTACTCGAAATGGGTTCGGCTTGACCAGCCACCGAAAAGGAATTATTGAACTTGCCGAATTTTCCAACCACCGGTAAGGAGCCAAGTGTAGAAATTGTTCCGGTTTGACTAGCCACCGGAAAGAAAGCAATCCATCCAATGTCATCTTCCTGGATCGGCGGTGGTTCAGGAGGGGGGCGATCGACCTCTACATCGATGCAGAAGAAATCCTGATTCATGATTGATAAAGAAGCCAATACAAACCTCTTACTAGCACACAAGAACACCCGACCGATGGTGGCAGGGAATATAGACCTGGCGAGCAACACTTCGCCACCGAAAATAATATCTCTCGACAATAAGCGTATAGATAGAGAACTGAAAATACTGATTAAACGAATTTTTTTTCAATATTGAAGTCAAAAGAAGAGAAGAAAAGAAGGATGGAAGAGGAGGCAGCGGCTAGGGTTTCCCTTCGCCGCTCCTCTGTCCGAACCAAGTTATAATATATATATATATATATATATATATATATATATATATATATATATATATATATATATATATATACGGAAAAACTTCCGGTAAGGTATACCTTACCGGAGCCGCCGTGCGGCCTCCACGTTTTGAGGGTCTTCCCGGTGGAATTTTTCGATGAATTTTTTTGAGCATGTTCTTCATCAAGTCTAGTACATCCATACCAAATTTCAGCAAAGCATTCAAGCGGGAAGGCAGTCAAATGATTTTTGGAAGATAACTGCGTTTTATTTGTATATAAAGGGTGCAATTATCTTCCAAAAATCATTTGACTGCCTTCCCGATTGGTTTTTTTTTGCGGAAATTTGGTATGGATGTACTAGACTTGATGAAGAACATGCTCAAAAAATTTCATTGAAAAATTCCACCGGGAAGGCTCTCAAAATGTGGAGGCCGCACAGCGGCTCCGATAAGGTATACCTTACCGGAAGAGTTCCCATATATATATATATATATATATACTAGCATGGTAGCGCGCGTTGCGCGAAATCCATGCCCAACGATGGAAAACAAGCAATAAAGCAATGCAAAAACAATTAAAATCAAAACAAAAAAAGAGTAGTTCAATCATGGCAGTTGCACCATTAATTTAATCCTTGCCGATTGGGAAAATTGATACAAAATGAACACATTTGCCTTTTGTTAACACCATCATCATATCAATTCTTAAGTGCTGGATTGAAATAATTGATTTGAGTTGATTACTTATAATATTATATCAGACTATTCAGACTTCAGTCTTGTCATAAAAAAATGCAAGGAAAAAAGTAGGATTTGTTTAATAACCTTTCCAGTTTTCCATTCTCTATATTCTTTTCTGTAGATTTTCATTCTCGTACAATATTGTTGTATACTGTTTTGGCTGAAGTACTGAATACAACAGTACCCACAACTGCATTTATAGAAATTAGTAAATAGTTAATCCAACAATCTAATCATTTTGGCACAAAGTAGTTACTGTAAACGCATGGAAGAAAATAATCATTAACAATATAAGATAGACCACATTGAATATCTCGACAGCATAAATCATTATGATCTGTTAGTACAACAGCAACATGAAGTTATCCATACATGGAGAGAAAAAACTACCTTTGAAGCATTCGTCTCAAACTGAGCTTGAACTTCATCAAGCAAAGCAAGCCAAGATTCAAACTTCAGCTCATGCCACGAGGATACCAAAATAAAAATACATCTCATTTGAGCCGGGACATATATATATATATATATATATATATATATATATATCCATTAGAAGGGAACATTGTTTAGAAACTTATCAGTGCAATGGTATTAGCAAGAGATGGTCATCCGGGACATATGTTTTGTGCCGCCAAACCTCAGAACCACAGGCCATAAAACCTTAAAAAAACACAGCCTTGGAAACTCTACTCGGAAACGAAACAGAATAGAAAGAAAAGGAAAATAGGAGAAGTTGAAGCTAACAGTATTATATGAGAGGGGATGATTACTTTAGGCAAATCGAATCACAGACGGAGGACACGGGTTCGATGAGCTCATTATCCAGATAGGCACAGACCAAGCAAAAACTTGTATTAACGTTTCACAGAGTACAAGTGAAATTGGAAAATAGAAGAAAAGGGGGAAATAAATGAGTAATAAATGAGCAGAGAGCTAACCAAATCGTTTGGGGAGCAACCATCAAGCGGGAATATGGAGGCAGGAAGAGGAGAGATCAGACAACAAGTGGAGTGGTCTGAGACATGAGCATCCCACTAAAGATAGAGCTTCGAACAGTCGCTTAGTGGAGTGATCCGCTCCTATTGATTTGCATACCTCTGTAATGACCAATGATTGTCCCTAGCCAAGAATCCTTTTCCCTTCATTAATTTATTTATACCACATTAGTCCAAGAATCAGATATGAAATGTGACATCAAATCAATTCAAGAATTTGAAATTAAATGATAACACCCAAAATGTCAAATTGGAACCTAAAGTAGGCAAAAAAAAAGTCAAATTGGGACCTCAACAAGTTAAGAATCCGAAAAAAAATGTTTTTTTACCAATGAAACCTCAATATAATAATACTTTAATAGTTATAATTTAGTTCTTTCCGTCTTTCACTCAATATAGATACACAGTACTCCATGCTATGCAAGAGTATATCCTCACTCATTCATGAGTCGCCTTATAAGATGTTAAGCACAAAGAACATAAATACAATGGGCAAGCCGACATAAGTACATAAAGCATAATTAGTTATTCAAGCAAAGGGTAAAAGATTACTTGTGTCGGTATTAACGAACATATAGTCATCACGAGAATGTTTTTTTTTATATCCTTTACTCGGCCATTGAAACATTAAATTAAGCCAAGTAAGAACAGAAAAGTAAATTAAGCCAAGCACGAACAGACAAAGCTTAAGCTAAGCTCATAAAACTGAATTTCAACTGAAAAACACATTAAACTGTTATAATAGGATATCAACATTCATAATAATAAAAAGTGTATTTTTCAGTTTGATAATAACTAAAGGTTGGATATTTAGTTTAGCCATAAAAGAGAGTGTACAATTCATTTCTTCAATAGCAACAAGGGTTTTATTAATAACAAGGGCATCATAATAGCAAGTGATTGTTTCTTAAAACCTTTAAGCTATCACACTGTAGTTATGCAATAAATAATAAATATCACAATACTTTTCAGAAAAAATCGTATGTAAATAATAAATCAAGTTTTAAATTGATATTACTCCGTATAACTCTATTGACAAGTTCCAAAAAAACACGAAAGAGAGCCACTCACCTATCCTCCACTAACTATTGTAGAGAGCAAAGTTGGTTGTCTAAATCTCCCTTTGTAGCTTCTGTTGCCGTAGAAGAATAAAGAATAGACGGATAGATTGCTTTTTTGGGATCAATTTTTGGATGACTGAGAAGCATTCTACCGGCCAAGGTTGATGATAAAATAGAGGAATTACGCTAAACTCGGACTACATTTTCTTACTTCCTCCGTTCCTTCACTTCGATCTTTGTCTAGAACCAACAAGGCTGAAAAGATCGAAGCAAACAAGGCTGAAAAAATTGAAGCAAACAAGGCTGAAAAAATCGAAGTGGCTCAAATTGAAAATACACTACATAAAACTATTGGAAATTTTGGGAAACCAACACAGAGAAACAAAGTACCTTAACATTGTGACAATCATCAAATAAAAGATTAAGCAAGGGGGCTGTTGCAGTTTTCTTCAAAAATCAACCTGCACTCAGGCTCTGCATTATAATTTGTCAGCATAGTGCAGTTAAGAATCAACGTATCTTACATACTAAGAATCAACATATCTTACATACTACAAACTGTGACCGAACGAGAAACGTTTTTCACACACATGCAAGCCGCAATACGAATTTCTGGACTCTTGCAACTAAGGGCCTCCATGACAAGCTTCAAAGCCTAGAAAGGGAAAGAAGAAATGAATGTTTCTTATGACTTTTTTTCTTAGAAACAAAGTCGAACTATTCAAGATAAGCTTTAAAATACCAAAACCTCGATCTAACCTCACTTCTCATCACCATATAAAGTTATATAAAAATAGCTTTCTAATTAAGAGGAAGAAAAGACAAGTGACTGGTTTAAAATACGCAAGTAATTCCATATTCCATCCCCTTGAGAGTAGTATATGGAAGGCAAGGCTGGCTCAATTAATATTACAGAAGGTCTTCAATTGAATAAAAGACCAAGCAGTGAGACTGAGTCTCACCTTATTTCAGGGCTGCTCATCTCCAAGTATGACTCAAGCGTGTTCAACTTAGATCAATTCGAGAAAGAAGTCAAGAACCCGGCCAGAGCTCTGTATTCATCACACTTTCTTTCAGCCACCGGGAGAAGCGCAGTAAAAGATAGAGGAAAGAACCATCCTCCCCTAAAAGATATCTACGCAATTGAACTAAACAATAACAAAATCAATATACTCCTGGACAACAAATCAGTACACTCCGGTATAACCTCCGCTCACAGAGTATCAATTCTCTACATTTATTATCAAAATGTAAATACCTTTCGGGAAAAAGGACTAATTGACCACGGTAGATCCCATTCAATTCCAAGAAAATTAAATAAAAATAGAAATTGAAATGAATGAATAAATGGAAGAAAAAAAACAAAGAGTAATTACGTTGGTAGGTACCTAAATGAAAATCTTTTGGAATGCTTCACTGCGAGAAGCATTTGCTGAGCTTGAAGCTTGAAAACGGATTTGCCGTCGTGGTAGCTATGGCCGAAGGCAGTTTGTGCCACAATGTCTTCGGTCAAGATTTGGAACCACTCTGACACTTCAATTTCCACTTCTCCGCTCCCACATCAATTACCAGGAAAACGTGATACTCTGTGAGTCGGTGGACGCTGGTAGGCTTCAGCGGAAGAAGGGCCTAATCTGTGGGGGAGTATTTCTCTAGAACCCTAGCTTACGAATTGGAAGAGTGAAGATCGTAGGTGATCGGGCACAGGTGTATACTCTGAGGCGCAGGCACTGTTTACACGGACGTAGGAGATCGTCGGACACTGTTTTAACGGAAACAAGCCAACTAACTGGCTTAGGCATTTTATATATATAGTAAGATATACTACATATATATATATATATATATATATATATACATATATATATATATATATATATATATATATAGAGGACTGCTCAGGTCCCTCCGGAGGGACGGGAGGGACCGTCCGACCTTTACTGTTTGGGGCGGTTCCCGGTGGAATTTTTTGATGAAAATTTTTTAGCATGTTCCGCATCAAGTCTAGTTTGTCCATACCAAATTTCAGCTCAAAATTCGACCGGGAAGGCAGTCAAATAAATTCTTGAAACTTACTGCACTTTATATATGCGCAGAATGTGCAGTAAGCTTCAAGAATTTATTTGACTGCCTTCCCGGTCGAATTTTGAGCTGAAATTTGGTATGGACAAACTAGACTTGATGTGGAACATGCCCAAAAAATTTCATCAAAAAATTCCACCGGGAACCGCCCCAAACAGTAAAGTTCGGACGGCCCCTCCCGTCCCTCCGGAGGGACCTGATCTTGTCTGTATATATATATATATATATATATATATATATATATACATATACATACATATATATATATATATATATATATAGAATTTGGTTCAAATGAGAACATCCCTTAATGTGAGAAGTGAGAACAAATCCAAACCATCAAAAATCTTAACCAATCATCGATCAAGTAAATGTTAGTAAAGGTTATTTTAGTCTTATTGTGCTTGGCAGTTTGGTAACCGATCTTGTAGGAAATACGTTCCTAATGGAAAGGCTAACTTTCCGCTAATCAATTTTGGTATGTCAGTTGACTTTTCCATATACATCATAGTAAATATTTATATTTTATTTGTCACATCAATTGAGTTATCCAATTATAGAAATAAAATAGCATTCCTTTTCATTCAATTTTTCCTTCGGTAAAGTTATTCTCTATTAAATTGTAATTTATTTTTATTTACTTACTTTGCATCAAATACCAATTGTAGTGTGTTATATCCTAGCTAAAAGTAAGAAGATCGGTTCATGTGCAATAAATACTGGTTATTGTTTTTGAAATATTGATTCTTGTGTGGTAAATACTTACAGTGGTTATATATTGGTTGTTGTGTGCTAGATACTGGTTCTTATGCATTATGTATTTGTTGTGATTCCTTATGTGCACAATATGTGTTAGATACAAGTTCTCTAACATAGAGGAATGCTCCTGTCCAGACGTCCGGACAGGAGCCGCCGTCCGGCCGGCGGCGTTTGGCCGCCTTCCCGGTGGAATTTTTTGATGAAATTTTTATGGCATGTTCTCCATCAAGTCTAGTTTATCCACAAAAAAATTCAGCTAAAAACTCAATCGGGAAGGTCGTCAAATGATTTTTGCAAGTTAACTGGTCCGGAAAATACATATTCCGGACCAGTTAACTTGCAAAAATCATTTGACGACCTTCCCGATTGAGTTTTTGGCTGAATTTTTTTGTGGATAAACTAGACTTGATGGAGAACATGCCATAAAAATTTCATCAAAAAAATCCACCGGGAAGGCGGCCAAACGCCGCCGGCCGGACGGCGGCTCCTGTCCGGACGTCTGGACAGGATCTTTTCTACTCTAACATATATACTTATTGTGCTATAGATACTAGTTGATGTGTATTATATAATAGAATAAACTTTAAATTATATGAAATCCTTACGTGTTCAATATTAGTTCTTAATTGTTGTGCGTTAGATATTATTTTTTGTGATCGATATACTTGCTCAGGTGCTTTATATACAAACTATTTGTGAGATACTGCTTTTCGTGTGCATTAAATATTGATTGTTGTGCGTTAGATTCATGTTCTTGTGAGTGTGCGTGATAGCCGGAGATACTTGTTGTGATTTATTATATACAAAAAATAACTATTTTTTTAAAAAAATTACATATGCAATATTGGTGTCATATAGAAGATAAAAAAAGTTATTTAATTTGATATAATTTTTGATAAAATTGGATTATAACTTAAAAAGTTAAATCAATTTTAAACTAAAAACATTTTATATATTTTAATATTTTATTTTTACCTACTTTTTCGGAAAGTTGTAGCCTACAACCGTTACTCCATTAAATGGTATAATAAAATTACTCTAATGCCCATTATTAGTTAAACGTCTCTCCTTTCCATTTGTATGAGATAAGTTTCAATGTGATAATTTCCATCTTTATATTGTGAGCAGTGGCGGAGCCACTCATGTTCAAAGTGGTTCTCATGAACACCCAAATGTTTTAAAAATATGTAGGTATATATATGTAAATTAGGTATAATTATTTATTGCTCTTTAAATTTGTAGTTGTAAAAAAGCATTGAACACCCAATATTCAAATTCCAAATCCGCCACTGATTGTGAGACAATTATTTAATGACCATTAATTTAATGAGATGATGGGTTAGGATGTGTTCTCACATCTCACAATAAGGAGTGTTCTCATTAGAACCACTCTCTCTCTCTATATATACATGATCCCTGTCAGACCAGTTAGGACACCTCCATTTGAGGTTCTTCTGGATAATTTTTTTTGATACACCTTTGATTGTGTCTTTGAAATTTAAACTTAAAATTCAATGTGAAAACTAATTAAATACTAAGTAAATTATTAAAAACTCTCTCTATATATGATGAAATAGTGGGAATATGTGTGTGTAATAAGATCGATGTGTATTCTGAAAATAGTTAAAGTGGTTCGTTTAGCATACGGGCGGGATAAGGGTGCTACGTGCAGTGGTGGGCTCGATCACCGAAAGGCCACGGAAGCGAAGATGGGCGGCCGGGTCTGTACGTAACGCCAAATACGACGGGAAACACGAAAGGTCACGCGCGGCTAACATACAGCTAGCAACTTGATAATTTCGATCCAATACGGCGAAACCAGCAACCACGTACCCGATCGAGAGATCAGATTCGAGTAACTATATATATATATATAGGTAGGTAGAATGATGATATATATACATATATATCACTCGATCAATCCTTCCTAAGTAGATAGTATATAACATGCAATTAGCTAGGTAATCCGGCCACAGAAGAAAATTAGAAGGAATTGACCGACCGATCGAGTATGTTTCGTTGTCGTTTTTCTTCTCTTAGCGATCGATATGATGGAGCTAGCGAGTGTGCTTTAATATATTTCTCGATCATTAGTAATTTTTTGAATAATCAATCTTAGCTTTGACCAAATTACTAGCTATAACCTGCTAGGTAAATATATACAGTAGTTTAATTAATTCCGAAGCGAGCGGGCCGGAGCAGCAACGAGATAACGAGAGCGCCCAATTAAGGTTCTCAGCGGCTGATGGGCGCCGTATGTTTTTACACGCTGCTGCTGCTGCTTCTGCTGCTGCTGATTGAACCTGGGCGGGAAATCAAAACACGACAACGGGGAGGAAGGAGGCCACCCCGTCGTCGTGGTCTTTTTGGAAGGTGAAAGCACGGCGCGGATCTTCATCTCCATCGACACCTTCTCGTACTCTTCCATCACCACCGCCAGTTCCTCATCGCCGCAGATGGACACCAGAACATCCAAATCCTCGCTCGGCAGCTTGCAACTCAACTTCACCGCCTCTCCGCACGCATCACACAACTTCACCATCAGCTCCGCATAACTAATGGACCCATCCACGCAAAGCACGCGCGTGAAACCGCCCACGTAACGGAGCCTTCCATCGCCACCACGGGGAACAATTCTCCCGCCATAACTGTACAGGAACTTCATCCGCTGCTGCTTTCCGACGCAAAGGAAGGAGAAGATGCTGATCGAGAGTTGTTTGAACCGACCTTGAAACAAAAAAAAAAGAGACAGTGTTGTTGCAGCAGGAATAAAAGTTAGTGCAGACTAGTAAGCAAAACAAAGGAATTAGCAGTGAAAAATTGCCCTGCATTTCTCAGGCTGCTGCCATTGATTTATAATAGGAATAACAAACTGAAAAACTACAAACGTGGGTTACATACCCACTAAACCAACTTGCCTAACAAATAGGAAAAGACTTGGCCAGAAATAATCTTCCATAACCACTATAATCTATCAGATTAAATAAAATAAACATTAACTAAAACAGAAATAGCTGCAATTATTTTGCAGCACGAGCTTAACTAACAAATCACCCCCTTAAGCTCGTTCCTTCATGTTGATTCGAACCATACCAAGCTCTTGACGCATTTCAATAAATTTGTTTCTAACAAGTGCCTTTGTTAGAATGTCTGCAAGTTGCCCGTTGGTGCCGACGTAGTCAACGTCCATCTTCCCTGTCTCGATGCAGTCACGAATATAGTGAAATCTAGTGTCAATGTGCTTGCTTCTCCCGTGATATACCGGATTCTTACAAAGAGCTATGGCTGACTTGTTATCCACCAGCAACTTGAATTGCTGATCTCCGATTCCAGTGAGTTCTCCAATCAGCCTGCTAAGCCAAACACCTTGACACGCAGCACTTGAAGCTGCTACATATTCTGCTTCGCAAGAGGATAGTGCCACAACCTTTTGCTTCTGTGAGGTCCAGGTGACAATGTTGTTTCCAATGAAGAAAGCTATTCCAGAAGTACTCTTTCGATCATCACAATCTCCAGCGAAATCACTGTCGCTATAACCTACTAGCTGAACTTTGCTTCCAGTAGACTTATAGCAGCACCCATAGTTCAAAGTACCTTGAATATACCTCAAAATTTGCTTGACAACTGCCCAATGTTGAATGGTTGGTGCCTCCATGAAACGGCTTGCAAACGCCACTGCATATGCAAGGTCAGGCCGTGTGTGAACAAGGTACCGAAGGCTCCCCATCACGCTCCGGTACAAGGTTGCATCAACTGCTGCACTTTCATCCTGCTTGCTTAAGCGAAGTCTACTCTCCATGGGAGTATGACATGAGTTACACCCACTCATTCCAGCACACTCCAGAATCCTGGCTGCATATGCACCTTGATTCATTGTAATTTCTCCATTCCTCTGGTGTACCTCAATTCCCAGATAGTAGCAAAGAAGTCCGAGGTCACTCATTTTGAATGTTGCTTTCATCTGAACCTTGAACTCTACAATATCCTTCACACTCGTTCCTGTGATGATTAAATCATCCACATACACACCAACGAGTAAAAAGGAACTTTTGTTACCTCTGCGATACACAGCATGCTCCGATGGACACTTTTTAAAGCCAAGAGAACTGAGTGAAACATCCAGCTTTGCGTTCCATGCACGGGGAGCTTGCCTAAGTCCATACAATGCCTTTCGGAGTTTGAGTACCTTTCCTGCGTTTGCACCATCAATAAAACCAGGTGGTTGCTCTACGTATACATCCTCCGCAAGGTCTCCATTCAGGAAGGCTGATTTGACATCCATGTGGTGCACTTCCCATTTTCCATGTGCAGCCAGAGCTAGAAGCAGCCGAACCGTTTCCATTCTAGCCACCGGTGCAAATACCTCTTCATAGTCCACCCCCTGTCGTTGTGCATAGCCTTTCGCTACCAATCTCGCCTTGTACTTGACAATGTTTCCAGCTGGGTCCCTTTTCACCTTAAAAACCCACTTCAACCCAATGGCCTTCTGGTTAGCTGGGAGTGACACAGGTTCCCATGTTTTGTTTTCGATGATGGACCTCATTTCCTCCTCCATAGCATTCCTCCAGGATGTATTTGACATCGCCTGTTCAACATTTGTTGGCTCTTCAACTGTCACGAGGCAAAGCTCACCATCTTCTGCAGCAATGACTTCTTCGGAGGCGTTATAGATGTCTGAAATCAGCCGGTAGCGTCGGGGAGCTGAGTCAGTGTCAACATCATCTCTCTGAGTGGTTGGTGTTGCTGACTGAGTATCCATAGTGGCTGGTTCAGGCGTCTTTGGTTCACCCTCTGTCATGGTAGGTTCTGGTGGTGGAACGGTGCTTTCTTCTGTCGTATAGACTACGGTGAACGTAGTTCTTGGTTCTGTATGATTCTTGCTGTCAGAATTCTCCATATACCAAGCCCTGCTTTCTTCAAACAGTACATCCCTTGTGATATGCATCCGGTCTTTGATTGGATCATACACTCGGTAGGCTTTTGCACCTTCCTCATAGCCTGTGAAGACTCCCAAGATTGAACGATCAGCCAACTTGTCAACATTGGGACCCAACCTTTTCACATGTGCAACACATCCGAATGTTCTGAGATGATGTACATTCGGCTTCCGATTATGCCACGCTTCATATGGTGTTACTCCAACTAGGCTTCTCGTGGGAACCCTGTTGAGTATATACACCGCCGTCTTCACTGCTTCGCCCCAAAATATTCCAGGAACTGCCATGGTTTTCATCAAACACCGTGCCATCTCAACCACCATTTGGTTACGCCTCTCTACTACACCGTTTTGTTGTGGAGAGTAACCTGCAGTGGTGTTATGCTTGATCCCATTCTGATTACAAAACTCAGCAAACTCGCATGAGTTGAATTCTCCACCTCGGTCAGAACGAAATGCACGTAGTTTACATTCCCGTCCTGCCTCAGCTACTGCCTTGATTTTCTTGAAGCACCGCAATGCCTCATCCTTTGTTGCAAGAAGTTCAACCCACATAAAACGACTGTAATCATCAACTACAAGAAGAAAATACCTCTTTCCTCCTGCGGTTGAAGGTGTGATCGGCCCACAAAGATCACAATGCACCAACTCCAAAGGCTCCCTTGCACGGTAATTCGAGACTCGAGGGAATGGATTCCTGTGTTGCTTCCCGATGCAGCACCCATCACATAACTCCTCCACATGCTCAATAACTGGAATTCCTGTCACCATCTGGTTCTTTGAGAGAGTTTGCAGTGCTCGAAAGTGAAGATGGCCAAACCGGGCATGCCATAGCCAGGCTTCATCATCCTTCTTAATCAACAAGCTTACCGGAGTTGCTAGGTTCAAGTGTAGCATGTACAGCCGGTTCTGTGTTCTGGTGACTTGAGCCAACACCTTTCTGGCTCTATCGAGGATGCAGAGAACTCCTCCTTCGATTATAATCCTGCATCCGTTCTCATCAAGTTGCCCAAGAGATATGATGTTGCTACGTAAACTGGGGATGTAATACACATCCGAAAGGATGCGATGATCACCTGTGAGACACTTGAACATTACCGCGCCTCTGCCACGAATGTTCACCACTGATCCATCGCCAAATCGGACTGTCCCATGCACCGTTTCATCAAGCGTTTTGAATGCTTTCTTGTCTCCAGTCATGTGGCTGCTAGCACCGGTATCGAGATACCATGCCCCATCACCCGCGTCTACAGGCACCACCTTCTCCTCATTCAAGTACACTTGCTGAGCAACAACATCGAGTGCCTCAATCTGTACCATGAGTAAGGCTGGATCATCAATTCCTTCTGCCTCGACTTGAGTGAGATTGACGTGTTCTTGCTGTTCACGGTCACGCTTTGCCTTTCGACACTCCCTTTTCCAATGCCCCGGGATCCCACAATAATGACAATTCCCTTTCTTACGTTCATTCCCACCACTGCTTGATGATTTTCCCTTGCTCCCAGTTGGTGATTTCTGCTTGGTCATAGACTTGTTCTTCTTGTCTATGCCACCAGGCAAGTCTTTCCCTCGTTGTCTAGCTTTCCACTCCTCCTCTGTGAGAAGCAAGCGCCCTCCAGCATGTGTGGAGTCATCAAGATCACCGCGTTCTTCCACCACCCGTAGCCGGCCAGTCAGTTCCTCAATGGACAGAGTTTTCAAGTCCACCAGTGATTCTATTGCCATCGCCATTTGTTTGTATTTCCTCGGCACACTGCGTAAGAATTTCTGCACTGCCTTGTGCTCCGTTAGTGGATCTCCCAGTACCTGTAGGTCGTTCATGATGGCAGTGAGTCGAATGCCAAAAGACTCGACCCCTTCGCCATCCTTGAAAGCTAGCGCCTCAAACTCTGTCCAGCATGTTTGAGCTTTTGCTTCTCGAACACGCTCCACCCCGACTCTCATAGTTTTGAGCGTGTCCCATGCTTCCTTGGCTGTTGCTTTGACTCCTAGGGTACGCACCAACTCAGGCGGGACTGCCCGGAGTAGTGCCGACATTGCCCGTCGGTCATCAAGTATTTCCCCTGGGCCTTCCTCGATCACATCCCACAGGCCTTGCGCCTGAAGTTGTACCTTCATGAGGATCGTCCAGTCTCCATAGTTGGTTCGAGTGAGAGTTGGATAGTGTGCTGCTCCGTCACTCTCTCGGATTACTCGTTCCACTATGTGTGTATCACTGCCTCCACCAAGTTTTGGCCATTCTGCACCCCTTCCTACCATTTTTCTGCAACAGATCAAACACCGAACGACTATTGAGTCTTGGATCTCAAACCAACGGCTCTGATACCAACTGTTGTTGCAGCAGGAATAAAAGTTAGTGCAGACTAGTAAGCAAAACAAAGGAATTAGCAGTGAAAAATTGCCCTGCATTTCTCAGGCTGCTGCCATTGATTTATAATAGGAATAACAAACTGAAAAACTACAAACGTGGGTTACATACCCACTAAACCAACTTGCCTAACAAATAGGAAAAGACTTGGCCAGAAATAATCTTCCATAACCACTATAATCTATCAGATTAAATAAAATAAACATTAACTAAAACAGAAATAGCTGCAATTATTTTGCAGCACGAGCTTAACTAACAGACAGCGGGGAAAGAAGGCCAGGCCAGGGCGGATTTATACAATATTTCGTACAGGAGATCGAAGATGCAGTCCGAGTCATGATTTTTGCAACGGTAGAGTAATCATTAATTATTAATTAATCATATATACGCAATACAAGGGAATGGCAGTTGCCTAAAAGTAATCAAGATGTACGTACGCACTCATCCCTACGACCAAATAAAAATCTCGTTTTATATTGTTTTCACACCATACTTCAATTTTGTGTGTGGATGTATGTAACACCAATACGAAAACACGTACTACTTCCGTCCCAAAAAAAGTTGCAAATTTGACTTTTCTTAGTCAAACAGTCTCGTTTTGTTCACTTAATTAGGATGTCAATTTTTAATTATATTCTAATTTGGAGTTTACAACTTTGAAAACATTTGAATGTAGTTTTTGAATATGTAAATTTTAATTATTAAAAATTGAATTAATTATCCATATGGAGGGTTGACTTTTATTATTGGTTGACCAAAAAGTGTTGACTTTGCAAAACAAGTTGGGACGGAGGCAGTATCAGAATACGATAAAAAAGTAGGGTTCAGATATGAGGGTATATTTATAAATATTACAAGTAAAATTTATGATGTGTATTTATAAATATTAAAAATTACAAGATTTTTTTGAAAACATATACAGTACAATTTTGTTTTGTTCTTTTTTTTTACCTGGCGGTAAACCAAAAGGCTTTAGAGTGAGGGCCAGGGAACACCTAACCTATTTATTTGATGAATGAAAAGTACAAGCACTACTAGGAGGACTAGACCAAATCCTACTTGAACATTAAAGAACATAAGGATAACTAATTGCATCAAATTTAATTATGTCAACAAATTGATTAAAATGATTAGTGCTGGTTTTAATCAAGTTGCTATGATAAGCCAAATTAAATACTCCGCAGGCTTATTGATTTGGGGGTTGGTGATGGTTATGGTTTGAAAACATATACATATATTATCTTCTGACCTCCGCTCATTCATGTCATTGAATTATTCCACATTATCAAAATAGTTAGAAATAAACTCATATTTTATCTCATATACACTGATGCATCTCGAAATATATACATATAGTCAATAAGTCCTTAATTTACAATGAGAAACGAGTCAAACAAGCATACTTTTGAAATTAAAAGTGCAAATACTCAAAGTTCGTGAGTAATGGAGATAGAAAATGATATTTTAATTATTATTATTATTATTGTTATTATTATTTTTATTATGATGTTTACTATAATACTGACAATATAAGTATATATTATTCATCCCATCCAAATATTACACTATCAATATGTATTTATAATTTTCTATTAGGTCCATTAGATTTTGATAATGCACATGTATTATACTAGAACAATTTCACTTGACTATTTTGTATCATTTGTTGTTTTAATTTCATAAAAAGAAGAGTACTCATAAAAATGAAAAGCAAAAAGAAGAGTAGTAAAAAGAGAATAGAACGTACTAAAAAGAAGAAAAGAAAAAGAAGAAGGTATGCAAATCAACAGGATGCTATTAAGTCACAAACAAAAAGGCTGTTGATTCGAGTATATACATATGAACTAGTTTTCGCACGCGCGTCGCGCGATTTTCTAAATGCCCAATGCAATTTGTTTTGCAAATAACTTCATAAAATCTATAACCTTATTTCATATGACTACTTTTGCAATTAGATGTTAATGTAGAGGTAGAGGGAAATCTTTGAAGTGTCAACCTTTTATTTGTTAGTCCCTTGTCTTCTAAAATTACTTTGACAGTATTTATCACTTTTACATATAGATGACAAAATAAAAATTATACGAGTATAACTTAGCATGCAGTATTTTGAAGAAATACGAGATGTTAAGATTGAAGCACCTCAGTAAATAGAGTTTTCTAATAATATCAATCTTTATAGGCTATGTTGTATAACAACACTCTAAGAAAATCAAAACAACCATTTTAAGAAAGATCTGACTTGATCATAATTTAAAATCATAGTCTATTAAATTCTAAAATTACACTTCTATTTATATAGTTTTTGAACATAAGCTATATACTATAGTATATTAGATAAATCCAACATTGAGCCTTATGGGGTAAGATAGGTGGGAAATTGCTCAGTAGGGACTTGGGGAAGACAAATCTTCCTAACACCACTGAAAATCGACGGCCTTGCAAATCATGCTACCTAACAAGGTAGCAACCCTCTTTCCATCACCAGCCCTTAACACTCGCACATGGAGCTTTATCATTACGATTGGCAGACGATGAAGACTTAAGCGCTAAGCCGCTGGGGTCATGCTTACCTTCATCTTCCATCTACTCACACTTCTACTTTGTTACTTTAATGTTGCAAATCATATTGGTACTCAAGGAACCAAAACATGATCACCTCACCAATTGACAAACGTAGACGACATATCCTAACTCTCCATATACAATGTACCCCAGTGCCGCAAAGGCTCCCACCTACGGTGGGGTAAGGGGGGGTCGGATGTACGCAGTCTTACCCCTGTACTAAAGCACAGAGAGATTGTTTCCGGATGACCCATAGTGAAAATCGCGACCACAATTACATGGACTGACTACTGCTTCATAACAAAGAAGCGCAGACAATTTAGTGAGCCATTTTGCTTTGTTCCATCATATTCTCAAGCCAAAAAATAATGAATCTTTTGATCCATTGCAAATGATGGAAACAATATATTTGTAAAAATCCAATGCTGATAACAACTTATTGTAGATCCTACATGAGTAATCTGGAGGTAAAGAAAAGCAATGCGAAGTTTCACTTGTATATATAAGTCATTGAAGCATCAGAACAGGTATATTCGTATATGTGACATACATCTTTATTCCATACCTTCTACTCTTTTTATAGCCTTCTAATTTAGAGCAGAAACCATACTATCGACTTAAGGTGAGACTATTATCCACATTAATTTGAGACTATTAAGCACATTAATAAAGAGTATAGACGAAGTGTTCAACTCAGTAGGGGAACAATTGTGAAGAAAACCTTAGTCGAACTAACAGAAATCATTCTTTCTTTCTTCTCCAGAGGTCGCAAACGTTTAGGGGGGACAACTGTGAAGAAAACCATAGTCGAACTACATTAAATTATTCATTCATTTTGTATCTACTATGAACTAAAATAAGGAAGTTGATGATGAAAAAATTCATCAACAATAACGCTCCTTGGATGTGTTACTGAAGGTAACACAATCAATCCCCACTGTGGTTCATCAACTGCATCTCCTTCTACTCCATGCTACTTGTGCCAAAAAGGGGGGAGAGAAATAATGAGTGAACTCGAAGAGACTCAAAAACAAGGATTGATATAGTTTTCTACAAAATGGAAGATACAAATTCTTTAATGATAATAAAATAATCTATAACCCTTGTATCTCTTTGTTTTGTTCTGAATAAATTCTTCCTTGATTAAATTGTTTTTTTTATATACTTACTGCTTTCTTATGCATGTTGCCCGCAAAGATTAAAAACCATGCAAGTTATCTACTTTATTTAAAGGTGAAAGACACGTGTCTGGAAATTAAAGTAGAATAAGTGTTTTGACATCATCAAAAAGGGGGGAAATGGTTAGGAATAAATTGTTATTAGATTTTGATGATAACGCAAAACTTAGGAATTTAGAGTACCCCTGTAGACTAATTGTATTAGAAATTTTGTTGTAAGTATTAGAATAGCCGACTGCCAGAACTAAGGAGTTCTGCTCCTCTTCGGACAGAACTGCCTAAGACTTGGGGACACCTCAAGCCTTGGATATGTTTGGTCCAAAGAAACGCCATTAGAAGTACTTCAACAAAAGTGTACCAGAGGTTCTTCTTCAACAAACTTGATCAAATGCCATAGAGATATCCGTTAAACTAACGGGATAAACCCTAACAGATAGGAGCCTCTCAACAGAAGATGTACCGTGCAACACATTTAATGCGCATTTAATGTTATCCATCCGTTGAGATATTAAAGACACATGATTGATCGGAGAATCTACGAGAATAATATTTAATACTTCCTGAAATAGTAAGTCAACAAGAATGTGAGAATTGACCGGTCAAGTCAGGGGCGGAGCCAGGATTCGATCGAGAGGGGGGCCGAGGTGAAATAAAAACAATCATGTACATATCTAATTAAGAAAACAATAAAACTTAAATTAGTATGCTAGTCAGTAAGTACTCGGTAGTGAAATTACTTTGATTAGTAAAGACCAATATTTTACCTGATTTTTTTTTTTAAAAATAGAATTCAAATTTCAATCTTATGTTATTATTATCTTATACGGGCGGAGTATTCATTTATCTTTATCGTATTCATGTTTTTCTTCTTCTTCATCTCCATCTTCTCTTTTTGGCATCGAAATCATGAATCGATTCATGTTAGTCGGTCCCAAAATGTTTTAGAATTAAGGCTTGAATGTTGTTATTTGTTGTTGTAGTAGTTTACTCTGATTCCATCCAAGTATCCCAAACCTGTTTTAATATTCTTGAACTGGGCTTTAAATTAAATGATTTAAATGAAGATTTGGGATCTAAGTATTGAACCGTCATCCATATAATTCACCATACATCCTTATTGTATTTGTTTTAGTGATGCACTACTTACGGACTACGGAGTACTTGAAAGAATAACAGTTGGGGGGCTGGGGGCAAAATTAAAATCCTAATACTACTAATTAAAAAATGAAAAGTTGGGAGGGGCCATGGCCCCCTTGGCTATGGCTGTAGCTCCGTCCCTGGGTCAAGTCTACAGGGGATGCATTTAAAGAAGACGTCATCTACACTCTAACGGGGAGACCCCTACCAGTATAAAAGATACACTTAGAAGGACAGGACGACAATGACGAACTTTGAAATCAACTAAGCAAATTCTTGAGAGCAAATACTACTCATCCAACTTAAGAATCCATACGAGAGATTGGAAGATATAATCTCATATCCCTTTACCAACTCTCAAAGCAAGTTCATCCTAGTTTT